TAGGCTGCCATTCAATTGTTGATATCAAGAATTGATTTCTTACTAGTTAAAATTCCAATTGGACATATCAGAAATACAATTATTACTAGTAAAAGCCTTTATTTTTTATATCAATAACTACATTGTTACTAGTAAAAAAGTGAATTCCTGATATCAAGAATTCACAGGCAGAGAGTTTACCGACGGCCTCCTTAGCCGTGACAGGACAGGCAGAGAGTTCACAAACGGCCTCCATAGCCGTGACAGGACGGGCAGAGAGTTTACAGACGGCCTCCTTGGCCGGAACAGAACAGGAAGAGAGTTCACAAGTGGATTCTACTGACACCTCTGGAGGTTCTGCAGTGGATGCCGCCACCTCTGGAGGTTCTACAGTAGGACCATTGGGATACGGGGAGAGTTCGGTAATGGTTCCTTCGACCGTGACAAGACAGGCTGAATGTGCGTTACTGGGCGCCACCACCGTGCAAGGAGCTGAGGCGAGCACCGCCACCTCGGGAGGTTCTGCAGCATGGGCCACCACCTCTGGAGGAGCTACAGCGGGTGACATCGCCTCGGGGAACATGGCAGCGTGCGCCTCTACCTCAGAAGGATCTGCAGCATCAGCCGCCACCTCGGAAGACATCGCAGTGGCCGCCGCCGTCTCAAAAGTTTCAGTGGTGGTGTACGCAGCCCAACTGCACCATAAAGCGATCCCCATTGTGGGAAGCGCTACAGACAGGGGAAATAGTTCAGAAACTGGAGGGCTTGAGAGCGCTGGTTTAGGGATGCCAGCTGCACGTGCCGACACCAGCGGTGGGTCCTCCACGCTGGAAGCCAGTCTGGGATACTGAAGAACAGTCCCTGAGGATCTGGGTGCAACAGACAGGAAGTGACAGGATTCAGAGCGAACAGACGTGATGTGACGTGACTCTGGATGATCAGCTGTGATGTGACGTGACTCGGGACAAACAGCTGAGATGTTATGAGACTCTGGGAGATCAGCTGAGACGTGAAGAGGCTCTGACAGATCAGCTGAGACTTGACTTGACTCAGCAATGGAAGCTGTGACTTGAGTTGACTCAAGGGAATCGACTGTGACTTGACTTGACTCATGATGATCAAATGTGACCAGACTTGACTCAGAGAGATCAACTGTGACTAGACCTGACTCATGCAGATCTGTTGTGACTTGACTAGACTCATGATAATGAACTGTGACCTGACCTGACTCATGATGATCAACCGTGACTTGACTGAACTCAGGGAGATCAGCTGTGACTTGACTGGACTCATGAAAATAGCTGTGACTAGACTTGACTCATGACGATCCGTTGTGACTAGACTTGACTCATGAAAATCAGCTGTGACTAAACTTGACTCATGACGATCAGTTGGGACTAGACTTGCCTCATGAAGATCAGTTGTGACTTGACTAGACTCATGAAAATCAGCTGTGACTAGACTTGACTCATGACGATCAATTGTGACTTGACGACTCATGACGATCAACGGTAACTTGACTTGTTTCATGAAGATCAGCTGTGACATATCGGGGCGCTGTTGTGTCCACCATTTTGCGATCAGGCTCCGCTGTCGCCGCCATTTTGTGAGCGTGCTCTGGTACAGCCGCCATTTCAGTCACAGACACTGTGTCGCGTTCCTCCTCCACGACACCCACAGTAAACAAAGATCCAACAGTCAACAAGGCATAATCCATTAACTGAGCGAGTGATGAACGTGGACCCTCGCGTCTAAGTTTAGACCGAAGAGGTTGATTTATGCCATCGCAGAAAAACTCTATCAATAAACAGTCTGGTAAATCAGAATAGTGAGCGATGGCTAAAAACTCTCGAATATGGTTCTCCAATGATCGTGGACCCTGTTTAAGGGCTAATAAAATTCTTGCCGTGTCCATACCTGGCCAATGTCCACTTGAACAGCTGCTGGATCCTTGTGAGGCCGAGTATTCTGTAACGGGGCTGACGAGACGTGAGACGTGTGGATCCATCTGCAAGCTTTTATTCAAGAGACGTGGTCATAACAGGCAGGGTCGAACAATGGCAAACAGGTATATGGCGGGCAAAACACGCTGTGACATAACGGGGCGTTTTTGTGTCCGCCATTTTGCGATCAGGCTCCGCTGTCGCCGCCATTTTGTGAGCGTGCTCTGGTACAGCCGCCACTTCAGTCACAGACACTGTGTCGCGTTCTTCCTCCGCGACACCCACAGTAAACAAAGATTCAACAGTCAACAATGCATAATCCATTAACTGAGTGAGTGATGAACGTGGACCCTCGTGTCTACGTTTAGACTTAAGAGGTTAATTTATGCCATCACAGAAAAACTCTATCAATAAACAGTCTGATAAATCAGAATAGTGAGCGATGGCTAAAAACTCTCATATATGGTTCTCCAATGATCGTGGACCCTGTTTAAGGGCTAATAAAATTCTTGCCGTGTCCATACCTGGCCAATGTCCACTTGAACAGCTGCTGGATCCTTGTGTGGCCGAGTATTCTGTAACGGGGCAGACAAGACGTGAGACGTACGGATCCATTTGCAAACTTTATTTCAAAGGCGTGGTCAGAAACAGGCATGGGTCAGACAATGGCAAACTGGTATGGAGAAGACAAGGCAAGGGCAATCCGGTAAACAAGCGAGGGTCGGTCGACGGCAAACGGAATCCAACAGGGCGAGACTAGAGGGATAAATCCAGGTACACAGGCAAAGATCAA